AAAAAGACTAGAATGTTATTAAGATATATAAGACATGAGATTTCATTCTGTTTATAAAGAATTGTATTCATTATCATTTAAAAGATGACAGACACATTTATCAGACTGAATGATATTATCAGGAATTTAAACTTCTCTTATTATATATTAAACATGATTCACAGAACTGACAGTTTGTCTACACAGATCTGTCAGTATTCTGAGAGAAGATCAATCTTTGATAGATATCAGACATTTTCAACTGTATTCAACTGTTATTGAATTCATGATAGTAAATATTCATTCTTAATTGTAAGCTTGTTAAGTGCTTGATAATTGATACATATCTGTCACTTCTCATCTGTCTTTTTCATGAATAGAACTGAAAAGTCTCACACACTTGATAAGAATTATATAAGATCATGTTCTAGAAGATCAGTAATCTGATGCTTCTGTTTCTCAAGATGCATTTATGACAGAGAGTATGTATTCTGATTGACTGATTTTATGTTCTCTGTGTCAATCTTATATACAAATCCTCTTTTCAGTGACAATTCTGATAAAAGATCTGTTCAGAAGATCTTTTCATGCTTCTTCAGAAGCTTCTTCATACACTTATTCTCTCACATATTCTTTATCTTAATTTCCTCCACTTCTGAGTTCTGTATGATATACAGAATGCTTTCAAATGAGGTCTTATAAATTGTTCTCTTTGCTTATTAATGTGTAAGCAGATTTAACTCTTCTATATCAGAGACATAAAATGTTCTTCTCATATCAGTTGATAGAATTGTATAAATCATTTTCTTTCTATCAGTTAACTGTATATGACATGTACATTATTGAATCTGTAGATTGAATCTTTGAAATTAATCAAGTCTGAGAATAAGATTATATTTCACATTCTGCAGCTCTTACACTTAAATATAGTAAGATTATTCTCTGAAGTGCAAGAAAACTCTTACTCTTACAGATAATATTAAATATCAGTTATCAGATAATCTTATATATCAGAGATTCTTCACTCAGCAGATCTCTTTCAATCTTTAAATTATATAATTATCAATATATTATGTAGAAGCTTCTGTGTCTGTTAACACTTTTACAGTTATCTCTTAATTCTTATTCAAGTGCTCTCTATACATTAACATTTCAGATCTCAAGATATTGAGATGAGTATTCACTTCATCATTCTTACTCATATCTTATTTGAGAGTCTACTTCTTCTTTATATTTACAGAATTCAGAGAATCATCTAATACAGATATCTCTTTCATTTTGAAGACTTTTTATAGAATATCAGCAAGTATCTCTGAGCTCACTGATTCTGCTAGTTTTTTAACTCTCTTGCTTCTCTTGACTACACACACTGAGTGTAATCTTTTATATCATGATTTTGATATCTGCAGTTGAAGCAAGCTCAATACTCATAATATCAAGATTTTTACTCAGAGAATCTCTTTTTCAGAGAATTTAGTACTTTAATAATAACATTCAGATCTAGATTCATTATATTCAGATATATAACTTGTGTTATAGAAGTCTGATTACTCATTCTTTACTGAGATATACTCAATTACAGTATTTTCTATTATAATTGACTTACTTATTTCTGTACAATGAGAATGTTGTATGCTTTCTTCACTGTGTCTGACTATGAGATTAAGCATTTTTATTCCACTCTCAACTCAGATGTAAGATCATGAATAAAGATCTGTAAACAGAAAGATGTTGAAAGCTCTTTATTTAATACAAGATAGTATAAGCTGAAGTGTGTGAAGTATGATATAAGATTACTCACTTGTCTACACTCAGTGAAGTGTTTATAACACTTATCTTATATATTCACTTTGTCAAAGTTGTGTAAGATTTATTTGAAAAACTCATTTTATATTTATAAGAATGAATATTACTTTAAGTCTGTAAGATTTATCTTTTTATCAGCTATTTATAATGACTTTGCTTTTCTGTATAGAAATACAGCAGATCTTAAGACTTGTTAAAATTTCATTGACTGTCTGTCTATGAGTTTATATTCAATCTGATAATATAATTGCATCTGACTTAGCCAGCTGATTACAGCATCATTTTTTCAGTCACTATTAAAGCTTGATAACTCTGACAGATCTCTCAGCTTAATGTATTTCATACTCAGATTCTCATTCTGTACAGCAGTCTCTGATGATGTGTACACTTCTGTAGAGATTGTGAATGATTATGATGAGATCTCTAAATTCAGTGTAATTATCTGTCTGTATAAACATTTAATCTTCTACTACAGATCTAAGATCTGATTTTCTCTATTCTTATTAATGATAATAATTGTGTCAGCAAAGCTCTTCATAGTGAATACTTGATTTACAGTGAATATCAATTGTTGTTTAGCTTCTGTCTCAGTCTGCCACTATGTATGCAAGGTCTCAATCTTGTTTAGAATTCTTATACATGTATGAAGCTTTGATTCTGATTCAGCAGTTTTGACTGCTTTTCTTACTGCTTTAAGTAAACTCTCTGAGAGGTTCTGTATATCTTTCAGTTCAGATAGCAGAGAAGAGTGTTATTTATATCAGCTAGAGAAGATATTCATTTTAATGATTTCTCATTGATTATACAATGTCTATTATTATATCACTGTATTATTATATCATTATATGATTTCTGTTATCATTATATGACTCTGATGATGACTACTTCTCTCTTTTATTCTTCTTTTGAGTAGAAAGCAGACTTCTTTGAATCTGGTTCACTGCTCTCATTCTCTTTCTCACATCTCATTCATTCACATCTCATACATGGCATTCATCTGAGTGTGAAGTTTTCCCTTAACAAGTGAAGCAGTATCAATTAGATGCTCTTTCACTCACTGCTCTTTATACACTATCTTTTGAGATATTTTAGAACCACACTGACATGATAACTATAAATTGCTTTGTAGATGAAATTATCACACCCTGAAGAAGTCTGCACTTCTCACTGATTTTTAGACATGCTATCAGATGTGATTCAAAGATTGCTTGAGTCAGTGTATGATTACAGGTGTACACTGGCTTCTTATATATTGAATCTCATACGCTAAATTAATTAGTGGCCGCTAGGGCCCTCTTTACATTCGTACACTAGTAGTTCGGAAGCGGCCGCGTTATTATCCGACGGTCGTACATTCTTCCGAATCACAAGAATAAACTGTGAAAGATGATCATTCTTCTAAAATCAGAATGAGAGTGAAACTGAAGATTAAAATCAGTCTCATTCAGTTCATTCAGTAATTGCTTATATAATTAGAATTTGATAACAATTATTGATAATGCTCATGAAATAACTAAATACATTCTTATACAAGTTTATTCTTCACTTTCTCATGAAAACTACACTTCTCTGATATACTGTGATCAGAGATATTAAACTGTCTGATAATTCTATGTTTTACAATCATGAGTTTCTTGATTATTTCTTCTTGTAATTGTCTCTGACAATAGTAATAAATATCTTAACTTGAGTTAAACTTTCACTTCATTCTCATCTCTGTTAATGAAATTGTCAGAATATCACATATCATCAGTGTAACAGTTGAATATATACTCTCAACAATTTTTTATAACTCTAGAATTGATTTGATGTGTAAATTTGTCAGATCATCTTGAAGATAGCAGTTAAATTCAGTTTTATAAGTATGTAGTTTTGCCTGATTTTCAGTTGTAATTAATATATGTAAGTTCTGTTTCAAAGTTAGTATTATAGTTCTATGAGATATGAAGCATTATCAAAGATAGTTACTTACTAGAGAATTGTATTTCACTGTCTTCATATCTTAAATATCTGCTTATTCAAATCTCTGATAGTTAATATTGTAGTAGTCTCAGACTAATTTAATATACAAGTCTTATTTCTCCTCTGTTCAATCTTAAGAAGTGTAGATATTAACTTGATAAAAGAGATCTAGTAGAGCTGCTACAGCATAGTACTCTGCAAAAGATTGTTCAGTTTTACTGTAGTAATATATCAGTTTATTTCTTACAGTAATAATAGTCTGTGCTATAGCATCATTTCAGACTGAATTTCTTTTTAAGTGATTTAACTGCTTCTCAAGATAAGTAAATAAACTGTTATACACTTATCAGACTGACTGCAGCATTAATGTATAAGTAATTGAAACTGTCTTTATTATCTTATAAAACTGAAATAGTAAATTAATTACATATTTCAACTGAGTTCACTTCATATCAGAAAGTTTCAATATCTGAATCTTTTTCTGATCAGAGTGTTACACTCAATGATCAATCATCTAATACAATTGAAGAGTCTGAACAGTTATCTTATATATTAAACTTCACTGTATTCTAACATTCTGTATCATATTCAGTGATGTGACTGATTTATTTATTTATTAAATATCATGAAATTATTATTATTATTTAGAGAAGATATAAATCACATTAGCAATGTTTCAAATCTGTGATATTTAAATTATTAATCAATCTATTCAAAATTAACAGTAGTATTATCAAAAAGTGTTATTAAAAAATAATATTAAAAAGTGTTATTGTGGCGGGCTGCGTCTAGACTGACCGTGTGACCGTGTCTGAGACCAGGACCAGATTTTTTGATAGTCTCATTACCAATTCAACTGATCCCATTACATGGTTTTAACATTAGATAGTAGTTTCATACTGTCTCAGTGAGACTTACTGTCTACTCTTGTCACATTTTCCAAATAAGACCATGATTTCCACTTCTCAATTTAAATTATTTTTATTGCTTTAAATGACTTTAAATCTCATTTGAGTGTTATCAAAAAGTGTTACTTTTTAAAAAATTAAAAATAGTCTAAAAAAAACCTTAAAATGTCTAAAAATAGTAACTTTATACCAAGAATGGAACTAAATGAGATCAAATGAGATCACTTTCTCATTTTTTTCAAGTCATGGTTTCATTTTAAAATCTGATATATAGTCACTTTGCATGCTTTTTTGATAGCCAGTCCCAGCGGGATTCACGCCAAGAAATGTATGGGACCAGACCAAATGGGACCAAATGTGAAATTCATGGTCCCGGCGGCCAGTCTAGCTGCGCCCGATCAATCATATAGACTATTCCGTTACACTCCACAGATTCCACGTACGCTCAGATCCTCGGCCATTCTCGATTGCAGATCCTCGGCCATTCTCGATCGCCGATCCTCGGCCGCCACCCCGATCAATCATATAGACTATTCTGTTACACTCCACAGATTACACGTACGCTCCGATCCTCGGCCATTCTCGATCGCCGATCCTCGGCCGCTACGAACGTGTGTATATTCTTCCGCCCCGAAGCTCCACCGCGTACGCCACCACATATGTGTATAAATATCCACCTCGATCGCTGATTCTCGCACTTTCTCTTTCTTTCCTTCTCTAGCGTTTTTATCTTTGTTATATAAGACCTATCAATATTATACCGATCTATTCAGCATAGGCCCCTTACACTATAAAAATGTTCATCATCTCCTTATTAGGAATGATTATCCATTGAGAGATATCCGAACGCGTAACGACGCGTAAGAAATAGAGAAACAGTCACACAGTTAAGTGGACACTGAGTCCCCAGATAGAAGCTTGCTCGCCAGTCGCCCTGGCCCCGCAACAAGATCTTACGAAGAGAGTAAGATCTTACAAAAGAGAACGTCAGCGAAAGACCTGAGAGTCCTGACACCCAGACATATGAGATATTCATACGATTACACTTCTTCAGATTCCACAGATATCATACATCTGACGATCGATATAACCATGTCTAACAATAATATGGAACCCTCAAACTCGAACATGAGCATAGACGCAGTGCCACAGTGGCTCCGAGCAATGTTGGAACTACAACAACAACAAATAGCTGATATGCATGCAACTCAACAACGCCAATATGAAGAGATTCAATGATTATCACAACAAGGAACTCATGCAATCCCAACATCTACAGAATTGAATACAAAAGCACTGAAAGAACACTTAGATGCTCCCGCATATTTCAATGCTTCCAACCTCACTCTCTACTCATCATGGAGGATGGAAATGCTCATGAAACTGAGTGTAGATGGAGATTCCATCAGTTCATTAACCAATCAAGGTTGATATATCAATGGACAATTGAAGGATCGCGCGAAACAGAAGTTCCATTCATGAATGAAAGCATGTGAACCAGTGTTGTGAATGCCTGACAACATCATGAGACATCTTGATGTTCTGTTCTGAGACACTGCCATGCAACAGAAAGCATTAGATTGGTTACAGAGTGCTCAACAGAGGAACACTTCTCTTACAACATTCATCCCTGACTTCAACACCAAGATTCTAGAAGCAGGTGGTCAATCTTGGGAGGATTGAATGAAGATTAGCATGCTCAAGAAGGCATTAACTTTTGAACTCTTACAGGCCCTTATAAGTATAAATGAAGACCCAACTTATGAAGGTTTCTGCACACAGCTCCGAACAATGAATGACCATCTTACCAAGCTCAAGAGTATACAGAACAGTGGCAGAAGACATTACACTCCAGTGACTTATACACCTGCATCAATGAATAACCCAGTCACTTATACACCTGCACCGATGAATAACCCAGTCACTTATACACCTGCACTGACAGATAACCCAGCCACTCATACACCCACACCGAAGAACAAGAACAACCATGATGCAGATGCCATGGACTGGATAGATTCAAATGCCTATGCACAAGCAAGAGTTTCCGCCGTTCGAACAGGCTTCCGAGTCCCTGGGATCACTCCCAAAGAAGTCACTGATCAATGTCAACGAGGAGTGTGTATCAACTGTAACCAATCAGGACACATTGCTTTCAACTGCCGATCAACCTATGTGCCTTCACACTCAAGAGAAAGACCGGCACCTCCACAATTGAGAGAAAGATCAGTTCCTCCTTGTTCAAAGGATGGATCAGCGCCTGTCCGCGCCAACTACATAGCAGTGAAGGAAGATTCAGAAGATAACTACGAGAATGCCCCGATGAAACAGGGAAAAGATTAGCTCCTGTTCAAATTCGCAAACAGGAGCTTGAAGAGGTTGAACGACAACAATTTGAAGAGAAGCCACTATGCAATCTCCAGTCGTAAGACATCATAACCTCCAGCGTATCCCCTTATCAAATACTCCCCACCGAGACCCTGCTGAACAATATAAGATAGGAGATCTGCCACAACTACCGCCGCGCCGCCACCGATCCATTCCCTTCTCAACCGACCTAGACTCTGAGTTCCGCGTTATCCGAAACAGCGGCCCTTTACCGATGGGAACTGCTTCTGGAAAGGGGGGGCTAATGTGGCGGGCTGCGCCCGATCAATCATATAGACTATTCCGTTACACTCCACAGATTCCACGTACGCTCAGATCCTCGGCCATTCTCGATCGCCGATCCTCGGCCGCCACCCCGATCAATCATATAGACTATTCCGTTACACTCCACAGATTACATGTACGCTCCGATCCTCGGCCGCTACGAACGTGTGTATATTCTTCAGCCCCGAAGCTCCACCGCGTACGCCACCACATATGTGTATAAATATCCACCTCAATTGCTGATTCTCGCACTTTCTCTTTCTTTCCTTCTCTAGCGTTTTTATCTTTGTTATATAAGACCTATCAATATTATACCGATCTATTCGGCGTAGGCCCCTTACAGTTGTTAAAAAACATTATCTTTTATAAAGTGAATGCAAAAGTTACTTGAGTAATTACTTTCATCTCATTCTCATCTCAAGAATCAGTCATCTCATTATTCTTTATCTCAATGTTAAGATTCTTTATCAGTGTTTGTATTACAAGTTAAATCACATGAGCAATGCAGAAAATATAACCTTGTTTATCATTTCAGAAATGCAAAGTCAATTTTTGCTCTAAGCTCTTCATTATAATGTAGTTATTCACAGCATTATCAGTTGTAATTATAAGAAGACTGAGACTAATATCTCAATAGTCATTAATATCTCTGTTATATAATTCTCAGTATGACTACTGATCAATGATTCAAATTCAATTAATATCTCTTAATAAGTTCAGTTCTCATCAATGTAATAACATGTAACTTTTATAAATGCAAGATTGTTTATACTAGTTCATGCATTCACTGTGAGAGACACTTTTCAATGATTCTTCAACTCTGATTCTAGATATTATATATTGACTTTGTAGTGTGTCTTGAGATTGAACTGAAGACAGAATTGATGTGAAATATAAAGATTTAAATTAAGTATTTAAAGAAGTGTTTAGAATTCAGGATTTTCAATTAATTGAAGAGAAAGATTCAGAGATATACATATATAAAGTAATTATTCACAGAAGTTATCAAATGAGAGTTGTGAAATCAGAGTACTGATACATGATTATTTTTATATAATTTTCTTCAAATTAGAAAGTTAGTATTATCAAAAATTATTATCTGATAAAGCAACTTATCAGCTCAGTAGTAATTTTCTGATTATTTTTCTTTTATTATCTACATTCTGATAACTTCAGATGTTAGAAAATTTCTTCAGAGTCATGATCAGTCTATAATGAATATTTCTGAATGAAGTTACAGTAATTGTAGCAGAGAGATAACTCTTCAGTAATCTATAATACAATCTATTAATAATTATTTCATAGATTATCTCAGTGTTTGTATTGAGTTTTTCATAAATTTTATAATCTGAAATCAGATATGAAGAATGAAGTAATTATTTATTATAATTAAAAGAGAGTATTCTGTGTTGAATTGTAAATAATATAGACTTTATAATTCACAGTAATTTCTTAAAGAGTTTGTGAATCTTCAATAGAAGTAAAAGAAGTGAAAGAAGTGAATTCAGAAGATATAATAATAATTTAAGAAAGATAATAATTTATTTTCAATAACTAATCACTGATGTGTGTAAGAAGAATTAATATAAGAGAAAATAATCTTGTTTCTTAACTTAGTTATAATTTTAATACTAACTCAGATTGAATATCATTGATGTATAAAAGTAAATAAATAATCTTGATTAATCTCTGTCATATTTCTTGAAATATATTAATATTGTGAAAGAGAGTATTATCAAATTATATTATCAGATAATATTATTAAAAATATATTAATATTATGAATATTAATGTTAAAAAAATGTTGATACTTATATATTATAGTGATTTATAAATCATGATAGTTAAATATATATATATATATATATTATTCCTGACTTGATTACAACTTGTACAATAATTTTTAAAACTCAAAATCAATTTTAATTATTAATAATTAAAAACTTAAACTTATAACTAACTAATATAAAAAGAAAAAAATCTACTTCTTCTCTTTCTTATTCTTCTTATTATTCTTCATAATTCACTTCTTATTCTTCTTCTTCTTCTTCTTCTTCTTCTTCTTCTTCTTCTTATCTGAGATGATAACTATCTCAAAATCTCTCTCTACTGTCTTCTCAGAGAAGAGTTTTCACTGCTTTCTCTCAGTCAGATTAATCTATATCTCAAAATCCTGTATTTTCTGATCTGCTGTCTCAGGTTTCATCTCAGTAGTAAGCAGATTGACATGCTCAGAGAGCAGAACTGTCTTCTCAATATTCTGAATCATGAAGTGCATTTGAGACCTGAATAAGATCTTAATTCTCTTCTTCTCTGTCAGCTTCTGCTAATTAATTAGAGAATAGAAGTATTATCAAAAATTATTATCTCTTAATAAATAAAAAACTTATCAGTTTTAACTTCTTTATCTCTTACTTCAATATCTTCTCAATCTTCTTCTATTATTACTTATTTATAGTAATACTCTTCTTCTCTCTCTCTCTCTTTATCTTGAACTCAAATCATTCTCAGAACTTCTTCTGATCTTATCACTACTATATAAGACTCTTCACTGTCTTCTTCTTCAATTTCTTATAGATGATATCATCTGTATTATTTCTATACTTAGTTCAGTCTAAATCTATCAGAAGTATTACTTAAAATTATTATCATTCTACTTTCTTATAAAGTCTCTTCAAGGTATTATAATATGTCTTATAATCAGTCTCTTCTCACTTGAACATCTTCTTCTTCTCTCTCTTCAATTTGTAACAGTACTCACGCGCCTTGATGATCTGCAGAACTGCAGAATATTTGAAGAGAAATGACATAATTAATTTCAGTAAGTATTGAAGAGAGATGAAGGCAGAAGAGACAGTCAGAAATAATATAATAATAATAATAATAATAATAATGATAATAATGATGATGATAGTGATAATGATAATAGTAATAATAATGATAATAATGATAATAATGATGATGATAATGATGATAATAATAATAATGAAAGAGAAAGTACATTGAAATATATTACTGACTTATTAAATATAAAGAGATAAAGAAAATATTAACAGCTTTCAGAGATATACAGAAACAGCTACAGTGTTATATAGTAATATCATCTTCATTCAATACATATAGTGTTGATATTCTTTGTATACAGTTATTATATAATCTATATCAGAGATACATGCAGAAAATAGATGTTTATTACTAGAGAGAATAATTACAGTAATTCTCTATTTTCATATTATAAAGATAAGTTATTCTCATTTCTTTCTTCTCTCTTTTCTCTTCTTCTTCAACTCATCACTAAATTCAAGCTAATATGAAAACTATTAAAACACTTCTAGAAACTCTCAAATTAAAGAGTATAGACTAATCAAATTTTAAATACAGAAGAATTAAATTATATTTAATATTACTAATTATTCATTTCTCTTTAATAAAATCACAGTCACATCTTCTCTCCCCTCTCTTAAATGAAACATGGCCTGTGAAAAGTGAGTATCATATCAGATTATAATAATCAACACAGTCTTAGTATTAGACTGACCGTGTGACCGTGTCTGAGACCAGAATCAAACTTTATAGTTGTCATGTTACCTAAAAGCATTACTTCTGATCATGGTTTGTGTTCATCACATTGATTTCAAATCCTGTTATTTTAAATATTAAAGGTCTCAGATTCACTTTTCAAATAAAAATCTAGTCTTAGATAAAGAATATGTTTGAATTCTTAGTCACATTTTCATTCTGATCTCATTATTGAAAATGGCATTAAATGAGATCATGAAATCATTTCTCACTTATATAATATTATAACATAGTGCTCATTTGTTGAAAATTCAACAGAGAGTGTTATTAAATATCATTACTTTTCTGAATATAGATTATAATCAATATCATTTTAATTAAAAAAAAAAAATGTAAAATATAAAAAATAATAAAAAAATAAAAAACAAAACAACAAGAAAAAATCACAACAAAAAAAAAAAAAAAAAAAAAGAGAAAGAAAAAGACAGAAAGAGAAAGAAAAATTAAAAAAAAAAAGAAAAGAAAAAGAAAAAAACAAAAAATAAAAATAAAAAAAAATCAAGATTGCAGGGCTGCAGCATTCTTAAAATACTCATTTCTCAGAGTCTTTATAATATTCATCATCAATCATATATCTCTCACAGTGAGAATAATATGACTGTAATGAGTTATTGTCTTAACATCATCTAACAAATAATCAGTATATATCTATATAAATGTGAATAATTAGAAAACATACACTTAAAAAGTGTGATCAGAGTGAACTCTGCTGTCACTTGAATAGCATTAAGAGCAGAACACTGAAATCAATGATTTTTCTCATCAATTTCATAGACAAGGCATGTGAAGATGATCTTAGAAAATATAAGATTCTCTGACTTCTGATAGAAACAGATCTCATGAAGAGACTCTATTTTTATCATATCAGAGACTGAGTGTTATCAAAAAGTATTACTTCAATACACATGCACTTACTGTGATGATTCATTCTCTGTGTATGTGACTGAGAGTTGCAGCTTTCTCATGCTGCATGGCTCTTTCTGAGATGCTGTCACCAGTTTGCAACTCACACAGTCTCTCAGTCCAGCACATGCTGCGCATATGCAGCTCTGCATGCTGGAGCCGTGTTGGTCATTATAATCTGGCATGGTACTTGCTTTTCACAGGCCATGTTTTGTTTGATTGAGAGGGGGGGGGGGACATGACTGCTGTTTTATTTGAAGAGGGATGAGTAATTGAATCTATAGAAGATAATTTGATTTCTTCTGCATTTGAAATTTGATTAGTCTATACTCTTCAATTTGAGAATTTCTGAGAGTGTTTTAATAGTTTTCATATCAGCTTGAAATTAGTGGTTGATTGAAGAAGAGAAAAGAGAGAAGAAAGAAATGAGAATAACTTATCTTTATAATATAAAAACAGAGAATTGCTGTAATCATTTATTCTAGTAATAAAGATCTGTTTTCTGCATATATCTCTGATATAGATTATATGATAACTGTATACAAAGAATATCAACAGTGCATGCATTGAATGAAGATGATGTTACTATGCAATACTGTAGCTGTTTCTGTATATCACTGAAAGCTGTTAATATTTTCTTTAAGTCTCTTTATATTTGATAAGTCAGTAATATATTTCAATGCACTCTCTCTTTCATCATCATTATTATCATCATTATTATCATCATTATTATCATTATCATCATTACTATCATTATTATTATTATCATCATCATTATCACTATCATTATTATTATCATTATCATCATTATTATATCATTTCTGACTGTCTCTCCTGCCTTCATCTCTCTTCAATACTCACTGAAATTAATTATGTCATCTCTCTTCAAATATTCTGCAGTTCTGCAGACTATCAAGGCGCGTGAGCACTGTCACAGATTGAAGAAAGAGAAGAAGAAGATGTTCAAGTGAGAGAAGACAGATTGTAAGACATATTATAATATCTTGAAGAGGCTCTGTAAGAGAGTAGAATGATAATGATTTTAAGTAACACTTCTGATAGATTTAGACTGAACTAAGTATAGAAATAATGTGAATGATGCTGTCTGTGAGAGATTGAAGAAGAAGATAGTGAAGAGTCTCATACAGCAGCAGTGAGATCAGAAGAAGTTTCAAGAATGATTTAAGATTAAGATAAAGAGAGAAAGAGAGAAGAAGAGTATTACTGTAAATAAGTGATAGCAGAAGAAGATTGAGAAGATGTTAAAGCAGAAGATAAAGAAGTCAAAACTGATAAGTTTTTTATTTATTGAGAGATAATGATTTTTGATAACACTTCTGTTCTCTAATTGATTAGCAGAAGCTGACAGAGAAGGAGAGGATTGAGACCTTGTTCAGGTCTCAAATGTGCTTCATGATTCAGAATATTGAGAAGACAGCCCTGCTCTCTGAGCATGTCAATCTACTTGCTGCTGAGATGAAACCTGAGACAGCAGATCAGGAAATGCGGGATTTTGAGATGCAGGTTAACCTGGCTGAAGAGAAGCAGTGAAAACCCTTCTCTGAGAAGACAGCAGAGAGAGATTTTGAGATGATTATCATCTCAGATGAGGAGAAGAAGAAGAAGAAGAAGAATAAGAAGTGAATTATGAAGAATAATAAGAAGAATGAGAAAGAGAAGAAAGATGATAAGTAGAAAAAGTTTTTTTCTTTTTATATTAGTTAGTTTAGTTATAAGTTCATAATTATTAATAATTGAAATTAATTTTGAGTTTTTAAAAATTATTGTACAAGTTGTAATCAAGTCAGGAACAATATATATATATATATATATATTTAACTATCATGATTCACAAATCACTATAATGTATAAGTATCAACATTTTTTCAACATTGATATTCACAATATTAATATATTTTTAATGATATTATCTGATAATGTAATTTAGTAACACTCTCTTTCACAATATTAATATATTTCAAGAAATATGATAGAGATTAATCAAGATTGTTTATTTACTTTTATACATTGATAATATTCAATCTGAGTTAGTACTAAAATTATAACTAAGCTAAGAAATAAGATTATTTTCTCTTATATTAATTCTTCTTATACACATCAGTGATCAGTTATTAAAAATAAATTATTATCTTTCTTAAATTATTATCATATCTTCTGAATTCACTTCTTTTACTTCTATTGAAGATTCACAAACTCTTTAAGAAATCACTATGAATCATAAAGTCTATGTTGTTTACAATTCAACACAGAATGCTCTCTTTCAATCATGATAAATGATCACTTCATTCTTCACATCTGATTTCAGGTCATGAAATTTATGAAAAACTCAACACAAATATTGAGATGAACTATGAAATAATTATCAACAGATTGTATTGCAGATTATTGAAGAGTCATCTCTCTGCTATAATCACTGCAACTTCATTCAGAAACATTCATCATAAACTGATTATAACTCTGAAGAAATTTCTCAACATCTGAAGTCATCAGAATGCAGACAATAAAAGGAAAATAATCAGAAAATTACTACTGAGCTGATAAGTTACTCTATCAGATAATGATTTTTAATAATACTAACTTTCTAATTTGAAGAAAATCATGTGAAAACAACTCTGTATCAGTACTCTGATTTCATAACTCTTATCTGATAACTTCTGTGAATAATTACTTCACATGTGTATATCTCTGAATCTTTCTCTTTGATTAATTGAAAACTCTGAATTCTGAACACTTCTTCAAATGCTTAATTCAAATCTTCATATTTCATATTGATTCTGTCTTCAGTCCAACCTTGAGATATACTACAAAGTCAATATACAACATCTAGAATCAGAGTTGAAGAATCATTGAAGAGTGTCTCTCACAGTGAATGCATGAACTAGTACAAACAATCTTGCATTTATAAGAGTTATATGTTATTACATTTGTAAGAATAAGTGCTCGCAGGCGATTATTCGGGTGTTTGCAGCTTGGCGTGATATGTACTGTTAACTACTAGAAGTGTTTGTGATAGGAAGATAAATGTAGAAATCAAATGTATCATAGCATTCAAGCTGAGTTGTAAATAGTATTCATGAATTCCAGTCTATATAGTTGTGTGTAGCCAAGGGCCGCTAGCCCTATTGATTATATGAGAGATAGGAATAGAGATAAAGAATCTGTGAGAAGTGAGATTTCTTACATATCTCTCTCTCTCTAAGACTTCATCTGTGAAGCCTTTCACTGAGTGACTTCATAGTCAGCTCAGCACTGCAGTGATACTCACTAAAAACTCTTCACATCTATAAAAAACCTCAGTGAGGAAAAATCTCTTATTATTACAAAGAGAAAAGAGTCTGTCACTCAGTTTCTTGTTTCACAAGGTTCTTTGTAGTCTACAGATTCTTCTCTAACTATCATGCAGATTCATCTCACATCTTTCATATAGAAGAGTTTCAGTTGACTCTCAATCATTTTCATAAGATTCTTGTGTGATCATCACACAGATTCATCTTACAGATGAATCACTCTCTGTGAGATCATTCTTATCAAAGAGAAACATTTGTGAGTTAATCTTTCATTCATTCTCACAAATCATTGCTCTTTGACACTGTAAAATTGTGAGAAATTTTCCATTCTTTCATCAACTCTGTAGAATTGTAGAATCAAGATGTCTGCAGTCTGTAATCACTCTTTATAGTTATATAGAAAGATTCAGATCTGTGATTCACAATCACTCTTGTTTACTAGAGTGATCTGACTATTTCACAGAATCACTTATAGTGTAAGTAAATCTCTCTAGAGTAGTATAAATATTTCAGATCTGTCTGCAGAATCTCATCTTCTTTTTCCTTTTTCTATAGCAGCTTTCATTCTTATAAACTGTGAGTATTCTCATTCATCTGTGAAGTGTTTTCACTCAGATAACAGAGAGAGAGTGTTTCTGACAATGTCTATATATTGATTCAAGAACTTCTCAAGAATAAAAATTTTTTCAATTTCAATATCTTCATAAACAATGTCTGGCTGCTGCTGAGCTTCTTATGAGTGTCTCTGTGACTTCTCTGATTACTTTTTACTGGCTAGTGGAGCAGGAACACTGCTGTTCATAACTGTGTCTTCATTCTCTTCAGCCCTGCCACTGCACCTGATCTTCAGGCCAGCAGCTCACCTCATCCCTTTCTCAGATCAGTCTCTGACTTCAAGCAGTGCAGTCCCTCTCTTTACTGTAAGTCTTCTCATAAGTAATTCCTTACAGATTCTAGCTGACAGTTCTTGTGAAGCTTCTGATGTTGCCAGTATCTTCTGCAGCTCTGTGAGCCTATGATCATCTCTCTCCTACTCACACAATCTCTGACCAGATATATGTGAATATGCCTAGATTCTCTATCAATGATCCTCGCATCACAGTGCATTTTCACAATCTCATTGTCAATGAGAGATGAGTCCCTGAGTATCTGCAAAATCTGGGTAATCAAGGCAATGCAAATGCTATGAATTTGTGACAGGAGTTGACCTGAACAGATGAGCTCTCTCTTCACATCTTCATTGTTTTCAGGCTGAATACTTCAGCACAACTGAGAGAGCAGACACAGCTTCACAAGGAATATCTGATCACATGCACAGATGATCAGTCTTCAAGACTCTGTTACAACTGTATATACTCTGATGTTCAGCTTCTCTGAAGTCTGTGCATTTCTGGCAGTCTTTGTGTCAAATGTAACAATTGTCTGTATCACAGATATGATACTCTCTGCTTCTTTGAAGAGAGAAATTGATAGTTATAGAGAGATTGAGTGTCATGAATATTGATAATGTAAGTGTGAATTTTCTTTATTTTTTCTTTATTGATCTCTAAATTGCATTTATGACCCTGTTTATTTTCTTGTTTTTTAGCTTTAATGAGAATATGTTTTCTTCTTTTCTTATATACACTGCAGACTGTTCATCTCAGTAGAAATCCATCATCTTATAAACTAGGGTTTATAAATAACAGTATTAATGTCTTTGTTACAATCAGATTCTTAGCAAAGATCACATTATTCTGACTTATCAGAATTCACAGTATGAAAGTTATATCTCAGCTTCTGCAGATGTCTTATCTGCTTAGATAATTCTTAAGTGAACTTATTCATCTTGTCAGAATACTCTTATCACTGAATCTTGAATCAGAGCTTGTAATCTCACTTGTCTGAGTTAACAATCTCTTTAATCTGATATTCTCTTTCACTCTCTAGTGCTTCATAAACAGAGTGATGAGTCACAGAGTTCTCTTCTAAGAATTTCTTATATTCATGAAGTAAAGAGACATGAAAAATATTGTATATCTGTAACTCAGGTAACAGTTTCAATCTGTAGAACTATAAGCTAACTTTCTTTATAATCTTGTAAGACTCTGTCTGCAAGAGATTCAGCTTCTTACTAGATCTTTATATAATGATGTTTTCTAGACTCAGTCAGACTCTATCATCTTTCTTGAAACTCTTCATAATATACTTGAAGTCATAGTATCTCTTCTGATACTCTTAGGTCTTTCTCAAGAATTCACAGGCTTTCTTCTGAATCTTCTGAATTCTCTCAGCCTGTTCACAGGCATTATCACACTCTATAGTGTACTCTCACAGGTCTATTAAAATCATCTGTGAATGAGTCTCAGTGAGCATCTTAAAGAGGGTTTTATCTGTGCTGACATGCTTTGAGTTGTTATATATAAACTCTGTAAATAATAATCAATACACTCAGTCATTCTGATTATAATTGACAAAGCATCACAGATACTGTTTCAATATACTCATCAGGCATTCTATCTGATCATCTGTCTGTTGATGAAAAGCTGTGCTTAGATCTTACAAGATCTTCAGTATAGTTATCAGATCAGATCAGAACTCTTCTATGAAGATTAATTCTCTGTCTGAGACAATATTCACAGACAATTCATGTAACTGAATCACATCACAGATGAGAATATAAGTTAAATTCTTTGACTTCAAGTTCTTATAAGTGAGTATAAAGTGTGCTATCTTGATAAAGTAATTCACTATCATCAGCACACTGTTAAAGCAGGTATTATATATGTCCTTACTTTCAGAGAGGCTTATAAGGGCATTCATTTCTAGCTGTTCCCAAGGTTCTCATGAGATGAGTAGAGGAGTGAGTTCTTTATATAGCCTGAACTGCACTATCTGCAAACTCTGATAAACAGTACAAGAATTCACTATCTTCTTCATAAGTTCTTATATCTTCAGTCAGAAGTATTTTCTTATAAGCAACTCATGAGTTCTAGTGTCTGTAAAATGACCTGCTAAAGAAAAGTCATGATACCTTTTGATAAGTTCTATATATAGAAACTTATTTACAGGTATATAAATTCAGCTCTCTCTTTATAAGAGATCATTTAAGTCTCTTCAACTCTTTGTTTCTGCAGAATTGATTTCTGTCATAAGTAGTTTCTGAATATACTGAGCATATTCATTCTTCAGTTGTAGTTCAGATAATCTGAATAGAAGATCTTACAAAGACTTATACTCTGTTTTTTCTTACATCAGGTCTTCTGTGATGCTTCTCAAAGTTCACAAACTCTTCAGATTATAGATACCCTCTTCAAGAATTCTCACAGAGATTCTCAGAGTGTTAACTCTCAGTGTTATAGAGAGTAGTTGTACAGGCTTCTTCTCTTTCTCTCTTCTCTTCTCTTGTGAGGAATTAAGAGACTCTTCAGTCAATCTCTTTATAACACTCAGTTCAAGCATCTTATAAAGCTTTTCTATCTTCTCTAGTCTCTCTGTATCTGTCACTCTGATCTTCTTAATATAGTCTGGCCTGTGAGAGAGTTCATCTGCTGAGTTCTTAGTTTCCTTGATATGTTCTATCTTGAATCAGAACTCACTCAGTCTCTGAGCTCAGTGAATCTGCTGCTGTGAGAGTTTCTTGATTAAAGCAAACTGTTGCAAGCTGTTATAATCAGTTCTAATAGTAATCACTGTTATGAGATTCTTGAAGTAGTGATATCAGTGATAGAAGAATTTCACTATCACAAGAAGCTTCTGATTATAAATATCATAGTTAATCTTCATGAGTTGCATCTTCTGTAAGAAAAAGATCACTGAAACCCAGTTCTCATTTAACTGTAGTTATAAGACTATTTCTGAAATTGTAAAGAAGAAGACATCTATCTTCAATCTGATTAAGAGCAAGGAATCAAAGTGAAACAGTATCACTGTGTTCATGAATATCTGTTTCAATCTTGTAAAGACTCTACAAGCTTCTGAGATAAGAAAGTTCTCACAGTTCTCTCTTCTTAATAATCTTTTCATTCTCTATTCACAGAATGACTTCTTCTTATTTTCACTCTTCAGTATGTCTATAAGAATCAAGAAGATTCTTACAAATACAAAGATAAATCATCTATAGAAATTCACAAAGCTCAGAAAGATCTGAATCTCATGAATACTAGTTGACTTCAGTCATGATAGAATAGTCTCAACTCATGAAGGTTTCATCTGAATATCATCTATAATGATTACATATTCTAGAAAATTAATTCAGTGAGTACTGAAGTTACACTTCATAAGCTTAACATACAGTTCTATCTCATCTAAGACCTTTAACATACTTCACACATGCTCAGTGTGTTCTTTCTCTTTCATAGAGTACATCATCACATCATTCAGATATATTACTATGAAGACATTCAGATATACATGAAGTGTTTTATTAATGAAAGACTGAAATATCACAGAGACATTAGTCAGATTAAAAGACATCACTAGATATTCAAACAATTTCAGTGCAGTTCTAAAGACAGTCTTTCATTCATTCTCAGACTGTATTTACAGCTGTGTATATACATTGATCACATTCAGTTGTGTGAATATGACAGCTTCTGTGAGACAGTTGATCACATTCTCAATCAGAGACAGAGAATAGCAGCTCTTTATTATCTTAGAGTTTAGATTATAATAGTCTACACACAATCTGAGATCTTCATTCTTCTTCTTCACAAATATCACAGAGACTCCTGCAGAGGCCTGTGAAGGTCAGATGAAGTCATTCTTCAGATTCTTCTTCACATAGATCTGCAAGATCTCTGTCTTGTGATAAGAGAGCTTATAGATTGATTCTCAGAAGAGTTTCTGCTCTTCTATCAAATTTATTATCAGATTCTTCTCACAGTGAGAAGAAAGCTCAGCTGTCTTAGCTGAGCTGAACATCTCTACAAGATCTCAGTATTTCTCTAGTATCTGAAGCTCAGTTTTCATGATCATGAGATTCTCAGACACTTGTAAAGTCATTATATAAATGAGCTTGTCTTCTCTAATCAACTCTGCAACATCAACTGCTTCTATCTCTGTGAGTAAGTCTGTCAACACTGATTGAAAGTATAAACCTGACTCATGAACAGCTATATGCGGATTGTGTCTTTGAAGTCATACAAGTCTCAAATACATGTTATCTATGATGTTTGTAATAATCACAGTTTCTGCAAATCTTCTTCAGATTTCAGAGAGATCTTGCAATTCAAAGATAACTCTTACAAGTCTCTCAGCTCTCAGGTCTGAGTTCTCATGCTCTGCTTATTGTAAGAGCAGGTTCTCAGTCTTTATCTTTCAGCTCATTTGCTCTGTGAGCTTTAGAAACATCACAGTGACCTGGGATTCTGAGTCTATTAATACTTCTCATACTTGCAGAGCAGCAGCACTGCAGTGCAGTCTCTCTTCATAAGTAAGCATTTTCATTGAGAGAGTAACAGATTCAGATGTCAGCTTTAAGACTCTTAAGAAGGCTGTTGCTGACTCTGTCTGCAACTTCTCAAATTTCTATTTTAATTTATTTAGACAGTTTGCATGAAGATGTTCTGATTTAGAATAGATGAAGCAGAGTCTCTTTTTCTTGATCTCTCTGTTATATACTCTGTTTCTAAGAGCTTGTGAAGCTCTCTCTCTCTGCTCAGTAGTCAGACATGAATCTCTCTGTGTCTTATCATCTTTTTCTGATAAATCTGTCCTCTGTTGTTCTGGCCCTTGCAGAGCTAGTCAATGATTCACTCTCTGCAGATCTGTGACTCTCACAGTGATCTGTAAGTAATGAATAAGAGTCATCAGTTTCTTCAGAGTTAAGAGCTTAGAGTCTTGCTTAATAAGCTTGTTCTGCATGTCTTTATTCAGTCTCTTTATAAACATCATCATTCAGATCTTGTTTCAGGACTCTGTTTTCACAGGTCTCAATTTATATCACAATTTCATGAAATGCTGTGAGTAGTCTTTATCAGATTTCTTATCTCTTTTTCTAATATTGATGATTACAGCTCAGATATTCTCTGTTCAGCTTGCAGAGTTCTTCAACTTATTCTCTAGATAGATCTTGAGAACAGATTATCAGAATCTCTCATAATCATTCTCTAGATAATTCAGTCAGTTCTTGACTTCAGTGTAATAGAGGTCTGTCATCATGTAGATGA